GTTGTCCCAAGTCAAAGAGCGTGACCACGTCATCCTCAAAGGCAAAGTTGGAATCGCCACTAAATTGTGTAGTGGTGCAGATCTCCGTCACTTCAGAAACATAAACATCAATCCGCTGCCAGCCACGCAGCACCACATTGTCATCATGGAAAGGGGCAATGTCCTCCAAGAAACAAGGGCATTGCATGCCTGGTGCACTGCAGACATTGCTGGCCCCTGCGGAAATCAGAACCTCCACACAGGAGACCAGATTGCCAGTTGAGATAGGCACATTTCTTGTATGCGGCCGGGCTAGGGTGCCATAGTGCAAAATTGCCAAGGATGGAACTCCACCAGTCCCTCCTTGCACCAAAATCTCAAAATGATCCTGGTGCCCTTGCAACGCTTGATCTGGCTGCGGAGTCACTGCTCCCACCCACAGATCAACTGAGGGAGCAAAATCATCATGCAAAGCCGCTCTGACTTTAGGGATCAGGGTTTCAGGCGTAAGAGCCATAGTGTCTCCCCATGCCGCCATCCACGTGCGGTACTTGAAATCCACATGCCTGATCCTCAAAACAGGTGCCGTTCTTTCCATCCAGAGATAGGCCATTGCATCCATATTCAAGCGATCAAGTCCTCGAACTTCAGTATGCACGCTCCACATCTCCAGAATGCTCTCATCAAAGGTCCGCACCGGCATGAGAGTCTCCACCTGGAAGAGAGAATGAGAATCTTCATCCTCCAGCCCATGCGCTCGAAAGAAGGAAAGGAAATCCCCATCCTCCAGACCGTGGGCTCCACCATCATCATGTCCCTGAGCACTCATCTCTTCACCATCAGAATGAGTAGAGGGTGACAATGACTCCTGCAAAAAGTGGATCACCTCAGTGTCATTCTCCCTGTTACCAGCCGTGTCCAATTCAAGAGCCTCAAAATCCTCCGGATTGCCAGATATGAAGTCCTGGGCAAACGAAGACTCTGACGAAGTTGAAGTACCAAGAGTCCCCAACCAAGTTGAACACGATGAAGTAGGTGTGTCATTCTGATCTCTCCGGGGGGCACATCTCAAGCGCACAAAAGCGCCAGGGTAAATCTGAAGATTTTCATTGAAGTTCCTTTGCTCCGGTAGGAGAACCGAACATTCAGCTTCTGAACATCGACAGACATGTCCTCAAAGAGCAAAGAGATCACGAGCATTAACTGAAACAGGCTCATGCTTATGTTCCCAGAGAACCGACCCCTGCAGTATTCCATCTCCAGTGATGACCTGGATCATGAAGGGCAGGCGGTAGGAGTGTTCATCCTGGTATAAGATCATATCATGGAGTGGTGGTCCTCCATCCACTGACTCAACTGACTGCGTCAAAATCCACCGGATTTCTCCAAGTGGATGAACAAAGTCCCGGAATCGTATACTGTCCATGTTCAAGTGGCGCGGCCATCCCTTCAACTCAGCACTCTGCCCGAAATGCCGAGCCACAAAAGGGTGACGCCAAAGCCGGTGCAGGCCCGGCTGCATTTCCTGTTGGTAATGCGTCCATCTGACCTCAACAGAGCCCATTCTCTGCATCATGGCCAGGTCATCGGTCTCCTCAGCAGTAGTGGGCTTCTGAGAGACAATGGGGTGGGCCAGCAGGTGTGAGCCACCGCGCCTGCCTGTTAGGCGCTCCACCTCCAAAGCCCTCTCAGCCTCATCCCGGTTGCCAACCGGTTCATAGGAGCTGAAGTTATAGTGAATGAACGCATGATTGACCAGAGTTCCTTCTCCAAGTGCAGGCACCCAGAACCAAACCCAGACAGTCAAGGGCATACCCAACAACCTTGTTCGTCTAGTTGTCCCTGGTGATGCAAGAGAAAGGATCCCAATCAAAGCTACACTCAAAATCCCAAAGGCGGCCAAACAAATCCCAAGTACCTCACATGCTTGCTCCCACTCCCAAAGGAACCATGAGATCCACTCCCATAGCGAGTCTTGGAAGTTCCCGGGAAAAATCGTCCTTAGAGAAGTCCCGTCGACCAAAAAAGGCGCCTGGAAACTTCCCTATAGACCATTCACTTGGTATTGGGCTGTTCGGTCTTGACCTTCTTGGCATTGCCTGCTAGTGTACTCTCGGCACGCCTTGTTGGAGATGTGTGCAAACGTCCAAATGAGACAGATGGCTGGTGCTCCATCATATCTGGCGTCTCCTCGTCCGAGATGGCATCCACCTCGATGGGCGCTCGCTGGAACAATCCAGTGTCTGGAGGATCGGTCTCGACTGCTTCGACTGCCTCGTGGTTCAATGCCGAAGCCTTGATCTTCGCCTAGATGTCTTCCAACTTCTGCCTCTTTGTTTGCAACTCCTCTACAGCAGCCTTCCGTTTGCACTTGTATTCTTCGTGCTCGCAGTTGTAGGCCTGCTGTAGTCCTTGGTTGAATTGCACCCACTTCTCGTCGATCTTCTTCAGCTCTTTCTTTGCAGCATCGTACTGATTGCGAGCCTGCTTGGCCTTGTTGAGATCGGTATGGGTGATCTCGATCGACTGAGCCTTGGCAGGCATCTTGGCCGCAGCTATGATGTCCTGCTCGAGCTTGGGTGTGAAAGCACTGCCCATGCTCTTCTGAAGACTCTCGATGTGGGCTTTCACTTCTGGTGCAACCTCTGCCGTCTCCTCTACCGGTTTCGGTGGAGGAGGAAGGGTAGGCGGAGGTGGCAAGTCGTCGCTCTCCAAAGCAACGGTGGCCAACCTGCTCTCCGGAGTTCCTTTCTGCCATGGTTGCCCAGTTCCCTCCCAAGCCATGAAGGATGGAAGCATTGAAGTGGGCGTAGCCGGATTGGCAGGCGCCTTGCCTTTCTTGTCCTTGTCCTTGATCTCCCTCTGTGCTCCCTGGTTCCGAATTCCTCTGAGACTTCGAACGGGATTGCTGTCTCCGATCTACACACCTCTCCCACCAGGCATGGCATCCTGTGCAGTGTGTCTGGAGAAAGGTCATAGTGGTCCCACATGACCTGCAACGCCACTTCTGATTCTGCATCTTCATGTTGGACGGAGGGTGGGATCCGTGATGAAGGGTCAAAACCAAGGCAGCCTGTCGAGTTCGCTTCCTTGATTTGGCACCTCCACAGAGCGGTCCTCGTCCTCGAAGATAAGCTCGTGCTCGTTGGCGGTACCGCCTCAAATTGCGGTGCCACGTAGGCTCTCGAGCCCGCAAAATCAGCTTGTCTCACCAGAAGATCCAAGAACACCAGGCAAAGGATCGGCGCGACCATACACACACGGCCCGCCTAAGGATCTCGCCTAATCGCTAATGCGGGGGGGTCCCGCACAGCGACACGGAGCCTTAAATTCCAGACTGCATTGTGTCCATGTTAGCAAGCTGCATAGCCGACAACAGCTGCGAGGCCGTTCCGGTCTGAGCCACTTGTTGCTGCATCTGTTGTGTCAAAGGCTGTCTGCTCAGCATATGAGTCATGTTGGTTGGAGGCCAATTTGCAATCAAAGCATGAGCTGGAGGAGCCAAACCACCCAGCGGCCCGGTCACAATGCTTCCAGGTCCATAGGGGGGCCATAGACATCTGAGCCAAGGTTACACCTTTCCTGACAAACACTGCTATGCCTGCGAATGGTTCACATTGGTGCAGACTGTTGAATGTTCGAAGCCAGCTAGCTCCTGGTCCTGCTCTGAACTGCAAGCTCATGAGCGGGAAGCCACTAGCAATCATCAACTGAAATCTCACTGCTTCATCTGAAAAGGCCAACTCGGATGTCTCGTAGCAAAATACTGCTATGTTGTGGGACATTCGAGAAGACGCCCATTTGGCGCCATCCTCAGCTGAACATCCTGGTACAGATTTCTTCGCACCGCCAAAGATGTGGATGGTGTTCGCCCCTGGGATGAACACATTGACGTTTTGAAATCTGATTTCAGCATATGGGTTTCACCTGTGAGTCACTTCTGCAACCAATAATTCTTGAATGTGCAAGAGCATCACCAACAGGTATGAGATGAAGTTCACCGTTTTACCCAATTGTGCTAGCGTCGATATCGCTGACACTAAATCGTTGGGACCCTCCACCAAGTACGAATGTAGGCCTGTACTCGTAGCAAATGCACGGAGCTCTGGAGGGAGGCCTCCTTCTAGTAAGCTCTCGAGCATTGGATCTAAACCATGTGATGGAACTGCTTCATTTGTCTCAGCAAGGGAACGAGACACACGCCACAGCAGATGTTCTGCTTCGACAAGCAGGCAATAACCATAGCTCTCGTCCACCTGGCCCTCCCTATTGTCAGCCAGGTTGCTTGATCTGTAGCCATTCAAGACCGTCTTGAGGACAGTCCCCCGGGGAATCCTTGCTGGGAAACTTCCCGGAGGTTTCTGTATGATAAAGTCCTGCAAAGGGATCTCAATGCTTCGCGTCCACGTAAGGACGCTCTGTTCCATCCTTGGTCTAGCCTCCGAAGCATGAGTCGTGGGAGGACAATCCATCAATTCAACTGGCAGATCTCCCAACATAGGCGCCACCCATTGATTTGGCACACGTAGGAAAGAGCTTGCCAGGTCCATGGCATCCACCCCTTCATCATCATGATCTTTTGCTCGACTCACAACCGTGCGTAGCACCCCATCGAACGAACTTTTGGAATTGGAAGACTTGGAGGTCGGCGGCTCCCAGGCCGGCCCCGCCCAGGAAGCCGGCGATTCACCCTAGGTTAGGCATTTTGTAGTTTGGTCCTTATCCTCTGCGCCTTCCAACAGCGGCCTTCATAAAAAGAGCTGAATCATCGACCTTCGGCGTAACAGAAAGAAAGAATTCATCCTTATCCTCTTAAGAGCAAAACACAGTTATATCTACTGTAAGTTACCAACATGGTTCCATGGCAGTGGCGGTCCCATGTCTGTTCACTCCTCCGGTCCCCATGGATGGTCTGAGGGCGTCTCCGAGACCACTCAATGGATCTGGTGATCCGCATGGACTCCGTCGGATGGATCTGGTCTCAACGAAGCGAAAAACGCGACCAAACTCGTCCGAGGGTCCTCTTGGAACTGCCGAAACTTGAGCTTCAACTCCGACTTCCTCGGGGCAGAACAAACGTTTGGGCGTACAAACAACGCGGCGTCTGTGAGAGAGATGCGGCGTGGCGGTAACTGATCCGATGAAATGGGATGCTTGGCGTTCGGAAGCTAGGGGAAAAAAACAACACACTCTGACACTTGTATTCAGTGACTCAATTTCCCGAGGAAAG